CAGCCCGGGGAGGCCTGCCGCTGTGAGCCAGGAGCCCGTGATGAGGCCCTTGGCCTGCGGCGCAGCGGGCACGATGGGCTTGGGTCCGGGCAGCATCTGCTGCCCTGGGCAGGGCGCCCCGTTCCCTCTGCCTCGCGCTCCCACAGCGGGATGGCCCCAAACCCCACTGATTCAACACCTTCGTTCTCGGTCCTTCTCATGGGGCCTCAGGACCCTGGGGCTCCCCAGCTGCGGCCAGAGCAGCTGCCCCAAGTGCCCAGAGCAGCCCGGGCCCTCCTGCCGCGCTCACACCCAGGGCTGCTCCAGCGAAGGTCATGTCCCCTAACTGGCTTCTAACTGCTCACCTGCCTGCCTGCCTGATCACCCCTAACTGCACCCCTGCTGGCGGGCTTCTCAGGGCCGAGAGAGAGCCTGAGTCCGGGCTCTGCCTCCGCGCGGGGCGCCCCCACACCTCCCTGCTCTGTGGCCGGCACGCGACCTACGTCAGGATGAAGCCAGGCCTGACTTCCGTTCTCTGAACATGCGGCACAGACGAACATTCCAGGTCAGCGAGCGCCTTCCATGCAGGGGGCGGGTGGGGGTGGGGGGCTGACCGATCACAGGGTTAGTCTGCTCTGTTCTTTTCTGCTCAGAATAAAACGTCACCCACACTCAGATGGTCTCGCTGCGCTCCGGCGGTGCAGCTTCGCCTGAGAAGCGACTCAGGGCAGACGCAGACGCCCCGGGCTCGGGTTCAGAAAGTAGATGTGGAAGGTGGGGGGCTGCATTTCCGAAATGTGGCTGCCACCGCGTCTCCTGTCCACGTGACCCCGGCACCCTTCCCCTCATTTGCGTGGCCTGCACTCCCCCACCCCGAGCCTGGGTGGGCCTGGGCGAGGGCCTTGGCTGTGGGACTCACCCCAGGAAATGCGCGTTTGGCTGCGGCCCTCGACCCTCGGGGTGGCTCCTGCAGGGAGAACTGCACGGGGAGGCTGAGGTGCCTGGTCCCAGAGCCCCCGGGGCAGCCCGGCTCCCCGTGAGCCCTCGTGCTGCCAAGTTTGCTGCCTGGGAAGGATGTGCCCCCAAGGGGGGCATCTGTGTCCCATCCCAGTGTGGCCGCGGGGCAGGGGCAGCAGGCTTGTGGGCGCGAGGCCTCCCCAGGCTCTGCAGAGCGTGTGGGACGGGGTTCCAGAAGGACCACCGAGACTCCCAGGCCCCGGGCCGTCACCGCCCGGACTGCGTGAGGGACGCGTCGCCCGGGCCTCCAAACACAGGCTGTCCCGTGGGTCTGGGTGAGTTTCTAACGGTTCCCAGGTGATGCCAGGCCCTGGTCCCGGGACCACCACGTAGCGGGGACCAGTCCGGACTCAAGAGGAAGGAGCGGAGGCTGAGGGAATTATGCCGGAGCCGGACCCGAGCCCGGGCCGGGAGGGGTGCGTCTGGCTGGGCAGCAGGACTGGGCTCCATGGCTGATCGCGGTGGCTGCGTTTCTGGACTCGAGTGCCACCGTGTGGGGAAACGCTTTCACTAAGATGGAAGGGGCCATGCACTGTGGACTCAGGAATGTCAAGAATGCAATTATCTATAGGCTGGGCCTAGGGCGTCCATTGGCGCCCTCCCTCGGGCCTCCCAGGGCCTCCCCTCCTGCGGGGTGAAGGAGGCCGTCCCCTCCCACTCAGCACGGCTCTGCACCCTGCAATGCCACCCCCACTGCAGACTTAACCGCTCCCCCAAGGGCCTAGGGTGGGAGCAGGGTCCCCAAGTCCCTTAGAGCACCCCCCCCACCCCGGCCACCCCCGGGTGAGGTCTCACAAGGACTCCGCTGCCAGTGGGCACCAGGAAGTGGCAGGAAACTCCCTGCAGCTCAGGTGGCAGCCAGGATGCCCACAGGTGGCACGGAGCCAGCTGGCTGGGCCTCCCGCTCAGATCCCTGGCCCGTCCAACCCTCGGCCCTTGGCCCTCGGCCCCCAGCCCCGCTGATTCTGTGGCGGGAACGGGGTCTCCTGCCCGGCAGCCCCCTGCACTGACGCCGACCCCCACATCCGACCCGTCAGCTGACATTCCTGAGCCCCCTTTTCCGCATCTGGGTTCACGAGGGGGTTAGTGGCCCCGGCCTTGGCCCAGGTGCGCAGCGTGTCTGGCGAGGTCACGGACGTGGGGCAGGCGAACATTGCTTTATTCTCATCCTGTTCACACTGGTCCTGGGTCAGCTGCTTCTCACGGGGAGACACGGACTCGCTGTCGCCGATAGTGTCCCCTCGCGTAATATTACACGGGAAAAACCCAGTGTAAGGGCAGGCAGAGGGCCTGTGCCCGGCCCACAAACAGGCATCGCGAAGATCGCCCTGGGAGGTGGGGGTGTGGGGACGGGAGGAAGGCGGTCCCTCCCCTCGCTGTCACTCAGCACAAGCAGCTGTGGAATCGGGGGGCTGCCGTCTCCCAGGCGACCGCAGCGGCCAGGACGTCACAGCACCCCTGACCGACTCCTGACTCAGAGCTGGCCCTGGGGTCTGTGCTCCCGTCCCCCGCCTGCCCCGCACGGTGCGGTCAGAGACACGGAGGCCCAGAGGGACGGGTGGACAGTGGAGGGAAGACTCGGTTGTGGTTTCTGTCTGACCCAGCGTCGCTGCTGCCCCCCCTGCACCCAGGGACCCAGAGCCCAGACTCTCACAGGTTGAGTCTAGCAAAGGCCGGGCCTCCTGGGCACCGGTCACCCCCTCTGGCTCCTTCGCAGCCCACGCAGACCGGCCCCACACCCCCGGCGATGGGGGAAGGCGTCAGGGAGGGTGGGCGGTGTGGTGTGGGCCCTGTGGGCTGCTCCTGAGCTGGCGGGGTGCGTGGGAGGGCCTGGCCGTGCCCTGGCCAACCAGGTGCTGAGGTGGTGGAGGGGGTGGGGGCCTGGAGGCCCTTCTGTGCCCGAGGGGATGGGGACCACCGACCACCTTGGCCACCAGGACAGGCCACCCAGTTCTCCAAACAGCACTGTTGGCCCCTTGCAGGGGGGCTCCCGGGGGTGGGGGGGACCCGGGTGAATCTTCTGCTGGTGGGCAGGGCCCAGGGCCTCTTCACTTCTGCCGCGGCTCCTCCCACGTGCCTCCTCCTGTCACGTCCTCATAGGATGGGGGCGGCTCCTGGGGCGCCCACGCCGCGTCGGGCATACGGGGCAAGTCATCCCTCTGCACAAGGAAGCCACCGTCACGACCGCGCGCACGTGGGGCGAGTGGCCCTGACAGAGCACCTTCCGCTGCCCCCTTGGTGACCGTTCCCCAGGACGAAGGGGAAACTGAGGCTGGCAAGACGGAGGGACTTCCGTGGAGGGGGCGCATGGCTCTCTCCACACCCGTTCTTGAGAAGGGAGCAGGGAGAGGCCCACGGGGCTCAGACGACGGGGCCCTCATTCTGGCCGGCTACCCGCGTGCAGGCGACCCCACGTGAGCCACTCGCACTGTCTGCTTCCCCGTGGGGCCGGGCCAGGGGACACCCCAAGGTCCCTCCCAGCGGCCGTGCATGCTAGGAGCGTGTTGAACGCCAAGAGCGTCAGAAGGAAGGCGACCCTGCTTCTAGCCCCGGGAGACGCCTTTCAAATCGCGGGCGCGGACGCGTGAGGAAGCAGCGGTCCCTGGCTGCCGAGCTCGGGCCGGGGCCGGTTCCAGCAGCAGCAGGAACGGTGCCGTGTCAGCAGCGGTCAGCGCGGCGCCTGGCGTGGCGAGTGCCCTAAGCAGGAACGGCCCCCGGTACCCCCTGCGGCCAGGCAGGGCCTCGTCCCCCACCCCTACAAGTGGGTGGCCCAGTGCTGCTGGTGCCTGCCGCCTCCGATGCCCTGAGGAGCAGGCGCCCTGCCAGGAGCGGGCAGTGATGGGGACACGTGCTTGCTTGGTGCCATAAGGCCCGGCCATCCCTCCTGTCTGCGTTATTAGAAACCCAGTAGACAGTGGCATGGCCACGGCCACGGCCATGGCCACAACCAGAGTGTCCCGTTTGCAGGACCGCTGGGATCTGGAACACGTTTGCACAGGGTTCCAAAGGTCACCTGATAATAGGGCATTTTTCCTTTAATAACATGAGCCCAGGAAGGCCCTTCCGCTCAGGGCGGGCGGGGTGGGGGTAGGATCCCACTTCCCGGCCGGCTCTGCCCTTCACATGTGTGCACAGGGCTCGGCCGCGGGTGGCACATGCCTGAAGCCGAGGCCTGGATTTCCTTCCCGGCGGCTTGACCTTGGGGAGCAGCCTGACCTCTCTAAGCCTCAGCTTACTCATCTGTAGGATGGGGGAGCAAGGACCGGCCTCAAAGGGTGGCTGGGGGATTCGGCTAAAGCTACGTTTATGGAAAGTGCTCCACCCGGTGTGCCCGCCCCCACGGCCAAGCCCCACTCCCGCTGCAGCTCTCCCCGCCCTCCCCTGGCCTGGGGCCAGGCCCTTGCACACGCTGCTCTACGCTGCCGGTCCCTCTGTCACCGTGGCCCGGCCCTGCCCCCCAGGCCTCCCCGATGAGGTCTCCCCGCCTCCCGAGCAGGGAGCACCCCAGCCTGTTGCTCTGGGAGCCCCGGCTTTCCCGCTTGGTGGCCCCGCATCTTTCCCCTCCAGTTGGCCTCCTCTGCCCAGTGCCTCGCTCCCTCCGGGCTGCGGGCTGCCTCTGCGGCTGCTCTGGGCTCTCACGCACCCCTGCCTGATGCCCCCTCCCTGAGCCCTCACCTCTGCAGACAGGGGGTCGTCCCGGCAGGCGACGGCGGTCGTGGGCCCGAGCAGGAAGAACTCCAGGCAGGTGAGGCCGAGCAGGGCCAGCTGCAGCCTCTGGATGTGCACCTGAGTTGGGGGGAGGGGGGAGCAGGGCGAGGCCTCACTGGGTGCCTGCAGGGTCACACCAGCCAGCAGGGGGAGGCCAGCGAGGTGGGCCTGGGGCGGAGGGTGCTGTGCGGCCGGAGCGGATCGGTCTCTGTCGCTGCTCCACGCCCAGTGCCTGCACCCAGGGGTCTTTGGTGGAATTTGCCTAAGGTCTGAGAGCTGGAGACCCTCCTGGGTCCCTCCCGGGCGGGCTGCGGGGGGGGGGGGGCCTGGGCATGACCTCATTGCACCCCACTTAGATGGGGAGATCATGGCTCAGAGGGGAGCAGTGTAGCTTACAGGGCCCCCATCTGTAATGGGGGGTTGGTCTCAGTGATGGGAGTGGTGCTGGCCAGCGAGAAGGCAGCACCCTTTGCGGGCACCTCACAGGGGAGAGCAGGTTGGCCGAGGTCCCCCCACCTTCGCCGGGGCTCCTGGAGGAGCCAGAAACTTGCTCGCAGCCGCGCCCCAGGCGGCGCCTTCCTGGCAGTCTGAGGACCCCGGGGCCTGGGCACTCACTGTGCTGTTGGGGTACGGTCTCCAGATCGGGGTCTCAAATGGACTCTCCAGGAAGAGGTCCTTGGCAAGGACGAAGAGGCCGGCCAGCACGCAGAGGAAGCTGAGGACGTTCGCAACCAGGCACAGCGCCCTCTGCAGGCGGAAAGCAGCAGCGACAACATGGGTATGGTTAGGTTTAGGGCTAGGGCTAGGGTTAGGGATAGGGTTAGGGTTAGGGTTAGGGTTAGGCTTAGGGCTAGGGTTAGGGTTAGGGTTAGGGTTAGGCTTAGGGCTAGGGTTAGGGTTAGGGTTAGGGTTAGGCTTAGGGCTAGGGTTAGGGTTAGGGTTAGGGTTAGGCTTAGGGCTAGGGTTAGGGTTAGGGTTAGGGTTAGGCTTAGGGCTAGGGTTAGGGTTAGGGTTAGGGTTAGGCTTAGGGCTAGGGTTAGGGTTAGGGTTAGGGTTAGGCTTAGGGCTAGGGTTAGGGTTAGGGTTAGGGTTAGGCTTAGGGCTAGGGTTAGGGTTAGGGTTAGGGTTAGGCTTAGGGCTAGGGTTAGGGTTAGGGTTAGGGTTAGGCTTAGGGCTAGGGTTAGGGTTAGGGTTAGGGTTAGGCTTAGGGCTAGGGTTAGGGTTAGGGTTAGGGTTAGGCTTAGGGCTAGGGTTAGGGTTAGGGTTAGGGTTAGGCTTAGGGCTAGGGTTAGGGTTAGGGTTAGGGTTAGGCTTAGGGCTAGGGTTAGGGTTAGGGTTAGGGTTAGGCTTAGGGCTAGGGTTAGGGTTAGGGTTAGGGTTAGGCTTAGGGCTAGGGTTAGGGTTAGGGTTAGGGTTAGGCTTAGGGCTAGGGTTAGGGTTAGGGTTAGGGTTAGGCTTAGGGCTAGGGTTAGGGTTAGGGTTAGGGTTAGGCTTAGGGCTAGGGTTAGGGTTAGGGTTAGGGTTAGGCTTAGGGCTAGGGTTAGGGTTAGGGTTAGGGTTAGGCTTAGGGCTAGGGTTAGGGTTAGGGTTAGGGTTAGGCTTAGGGCTAGGGTTAGGGTTAGGGTTAGGGTTAGGCTTAGGGCTAGGGTTAGGGTTAGGGTTAGGGTTAGGCTTAGGGCTAGGGTTAGGGTTAGGGTTAGGGTTAGGCTTAGGGCTAGGGTTAGGGTTAGGGTTAGGGTTAGGCTTAGGGCTAGGGTTAGGGTTAGGGTTAGGGTTAGGCTTAGGGCTAGGGTTAGGGTTAGGGTTAGGGTTAGGCTTAGGGCTAGGGTTAGGGTTAGGGTTAGGGTTAGGCTTAGGGCTAGGGTTAGGGTTAGGGTTAGGGTTAGGCTTAGGGCTAGGGTTAGGGTTAGGGTTAGGGTTAGGCTTAGGGCTAGGGTTAGGGTTAGGGTTAGGGTTAGGCTTAGGGCTAGGGTTAGGGTTAGGGTTAGGGTTAGGCTTAGGGCTAGGGTTAGGGTTAGGGTTAGGGTTAGGCTTAGGGCTAGGGTTAGGGTTAGGGTTAGGGTTAGGCTTAGGGCTAGGGTTAGGGTTAGGGTTAGGGTTAGGCTTAGGGCTAGGGTTAGGGTTAGGGTTAGGGTTAGGCTTAGGGCTAGGGTTAGGGTTAGGGTTAGGGTTAGGCTTAGGGCTAGGGTTAGGGTTAGGGTTAGGGTTAGGCTTAGGGCTAGGGTTAGGGTTAGGGTTAGGGTTAGGCTTAGGGCTAGGGTTAGGGTTAGGGTTAGGGTTAGGGCTAAGGTTAGGGTAAGGGTTAGGGTGAGGGTTAGGGCTAGGGTTAGGGTTAGGCCTAGGGTTAAGCTTAGGGTTAGGGCTAGGGTTAGGGTTTGGCCTAGGGTTAGGCTTAGGTTTTCTCCTTTCCCTTCGCCTCCCTGCATTGTGCTTACATATGCAAATTAACCGCCATCTTGTTGGCAGTTAACTGCCAATCTTAGTTGGCAGTTAACTGTCAATCTTAGTTGGCAGTTAACTGCCAATCTTAGTTGGCAGTTAATTTGCATATAGCCCTGATTAGCCAATGAAAAGGGTATTGGTCGTACGCCAATTACCCTTTTTGTTCTTTATTAGA